CACACTTGATCAAGGCATTGACAAGGTATGAAAACCAGTGCCGAATAATTGGCAGGAATTGGTGACCTTATATTGCCACTTTTGCCTCCGTACGAACATTCAAAACATGTCAACAGAATGTTGCAGCTATATGTACATGTGTATAATGTACATGAATAATTACAGCATTCATTTGGTCAAGTTCAGCTACCCAGTCCACATATAGTTTATGAAGCGGCTATAGCCAGGTTGAGCCCACAAGCTGCTCTCATTTTGAAAGACACCTAGAGGCATTACAGTCCAACTCTTGCAAGCGCTACCATCATTGGCAATGTCTGAAGCCTTTTTTCTGGTAGCCAGAGGCATGCAAGCCTCTTGTCAGAGACTGGGATGTTGAGACTTCTATTTTTGGCTGGCGAAGTAGAATTACCGCTGTCTTGACTCTCAAAGTTGTCATTTTATGGATGGAGCGCCTGCTTCGTGGTCTTGTTCCAAATGGATTCTCAGAATCCAGACCTTTCAAGTCGTGCTCTTTCATAACAAGAGCAAAAATTGACGGAAGCAGCACAGGAAGAGCAGGCCTGGGTGCACCGTGCTGAAACCATGGAGGAAGGAAAAGACATTTTGAAATGTAAAGTGCAGAATCCAAAGTTTTATTATCCGTTGTTTTAATGATCGAAACCACTATTGAGAACCGCAGCTCTCTGTCAACTCCATCCTGTTGGACAGCCACTCTTGTATTCTCTTGCAACTCTGTCACTATGCCAGTGTAATTCTAAGCTGTAAAAGTGAATACACAGACACGGCCTAGTCAATGCCTTGATCAAGTTAAGTGCTCCCCAGTTAAGTTCTATATTAAAGTGAGCATACATTTTGCTTAAATTAACAATGCTACTCTCCCTCAACTTGCTTTGAAGTTTCTCAACATTTCTCCGTGTCCCAAGTAGTTGAATGAATCCAAAACAGAAGAAAAAACAACCTTCAACCTCGTCTTTGCTCAGTTAGTGCAAGTTCCTTCTCAATTTAATAGTCCTCCGTCAGTCACCAAGGATAGCCTAAATACATTCCTGTTGCTGCTGTTACATTGCCCTGTGGTTCTTGAAGCAGTAGATCCTCTTGTGCCCTGGTGCAGTGGGAAGATCTGAACCTGTTATGGGGCATAATCTTCCACCCACAACAGGGTGAAAACTGAGAAGTCTTATGTCCTATAAAAACTAAAGAAGACTTACTCGAATCTCGCACTGTCTGCAAAGTAGAAAGTATTTTTTCATCTGACACCACCAAAAGGTGTTCCAGTGTTTTGTTATCAGAAGAGATTATACACAGAAGCAGTCCAGATGACATGTTAACTAATACCCAGAGCCAAAATACATACGTATAAGTTCCGACAGCACAGGCGTATAAAAATTCTGTCTGCATTTGAAATCCAAAAACGTTTTGAGAGTTACTGACAGATTTATAGATGGTCCGTCAGTCATGCATGCACTTCAGTGTAATTTTGTCAATCCCAAAATATTTATAAGCCATGACATCACTCCGCCCCTTTGATATCACCATCCTAACAGCAACAATTTGGAATAACGCTGAAGAACTACATGTATGGGAATGGTGGAATGCTAGAATGATAATATAAAGCATGCTACTTGGTATTGCCTTGGACTGAAGACTATCACGCTCCATGCATCAAATCAAACACCTGGCATATCAGATGTCCAAACACCTAATCATCCTCTGTAGGATAAGGAAGACTATTTATAATTAATAGGATTTCAATGAATTGGTAATCTTGAGGTTAGGATATAAATTGAGGTGTACAATATACACGTGCATTACTTCATAACTTTGCGAATTAGTTTAGTTTATTATTAGGCAAGAAATACCTAGATTCTTTCCCGCTATTCAACGAAGGTTTAAATATTTAATTTGGATACGTCCAGTGTGTCCTTATCCAACTAGCAGTTGTCATTATTTACACCTTGCGTACATATATGTAAAACAAAATTGCAAGCATCTTAATAAATCACCAGGGAGTGAATGCAGAATAGAAAAATTTACGAACACTTGTAATTTGCAAAGTGCACAGATTTATTCTGGGGGGGGGGTCGTCTCACCAAATGTTTAAAGGACAACTTAAAAAAAAGAATTTGCAAATTTTCTAGCATTAAAAGTTAACCTTACAAATGATAGAAACACCTATCTTGGCAGACTGGAAATCTGTGTATGGTATGTTTGGCAATCAAAATAACTGCAAATTTAAGTTGCACATGAGTTGTTGCCATCCTGGCGCTAGTCTGGCCTCCAATGAAAAAATGTCTTGAACATAGAAGGCTTTGTGCAATGTAGGCACTTTGTACAAAGTAGGGTACATTTAGTTCATTACCATGAAAAAATGCTACCAACTGTTGTAAGAATGAAGGAATCAGTTTTGCAGGAGACACGAGTGAAAACACCGTCTTCATTTTGAACAACTCTTTAGATAGAAAATATTAGGTCACATAACATATGCCATTACTCTCTGTGCAGTAGTTCTAGGAATGTATTACGTTGTGTTCGTTCACACAGGATTTTTGTCTTGAATTTTAATGGCTGAAATACGTATGTTTCGAGAAGAGTAAACATCAATATCATTGCGATAAGAAATTGTACCACTAATCAATGTGGTCTTGATGAGCTTCACAAATTTTATAAATTAATTAGGGCATGTTTCTGACTTTTGAGTTTTCTGGTTTAGCTTGGATCTTCCTTTTTCTACAGAGGATGTTTGGGTGTTTTCAGGATTTATAAATTTTCCATGGAATGAAAGGCGATTTACGGTAGATATTTGTCAAATTAAATAACTTAAGCAGGCTCTGGGAAAATCCGCAGTTGCTGATGCTTGATAACACAGATAGACTTGGTTGTCAAAAAGAAAACAAAACTAGCAGTTGGTGAATTTAGCATCTGAGTATTCGATTCTGCACATGGTCCTTGTTAATACAAATCACTTGCATTTGGGTATGCAAAAAAAGAAGAACCACATGTGTGCATTTCTCAGTAAACTACCGTTGAGACAGTGAAACTTCAAAAGGTATAATTACGACAACAAGTACATGTATTTGCCTGGAATTCAGTTTCCAGCCCTAGGGTCTGTACCTCTTGCATACGTCGCCACTTTCTTTGTACCTGTACCGTCTTTATTACTTGAAAGTGGGTTTCCACAAATCCAGTTGGGAGCTTTGAGAATACAGTCATTGCTATCGACTCGCGTAGTCTCAGTTGTTTCATGCCAAGGAAACTAAAAATAAACACCATCCAGGCTGAAGAGCCGAATTTGAAAGGGCTCAGAACAGACTGATGACTCACTTTAAAAAGAACCACCATTTGTATATGGCATTACTTTGGGCACAAAAACTTGACTCTACACGCAGAAAAGGCATGGATTACATTTTACAAAATGGTCCAATGCCAAAAATGTGGACTCTTGAGAGTTGTAATATCGGTGCAGTTCTGTCACCAAATGTTCGGTCTTTGTGCTCAGACTAAGTAACATGCACTTGTTCATTTGGAAACTAAATTGAGATTGAATGAGTGAGTTTAAGGCTTGTTCATACATGGTCATGTGCACGCTTGACAGTTTCAATGAAACAGCCATTTCTTGACTTACTGTGGCGGCAGTTGTGGATTTTTCTGGACCCTGTTTAGGTTAGCATGTGAGCATGTGCAATATCTGTGATTAGGTAGACCAGTGTACACCAAACTGCCATGAGATTGTAAGGGTTTATGAGAGCAATACATGAGGATGTAATTGTAAAGTGCATGAATTGATGAAAACTTCAAGTAAATTTAGCATGGAGTACAGGACAGGCTAACCCCGTGTCATCAGATGCCATAGTTTCTACAGATACCAACAGGCAGATTGCTACATCATCGTCCATCAAGGCTCAGAGGAACATGGATATTCAAGAGGGCACATTGGGACTTCAACTGAAAAAAGTTGGGCAAGGGAAAAACAACTTTTGATTGCTCTGCAATCTGACAAAAAAACCCGTAAAACTGGAACATTCCCAACAAAAACTGGGACATGTTTAGAATAAAAACCACTTCCATTGAGTAGAGAAGAGTTTGGCTACCGAGTAAAGAAAAAAACTCTGCCCATTTGTTTGGAAGTTTGAAAAAATGCTTGTGTCACACATAAGATCACCAAATGATTAAACGTTGGCTGCTGCGGCAACCTGATAACCATTTAGCAGTATTTTTGAACATCAAAAAGGGCTCAGGTCAGTGCAAAAAGAAACAACTACAAGTGCAAACTCAGATGAAAAAATAGAATCGTTATTTAACAAGGCTTATTTCCTTGTGCAGTTTTGGAAAATTCAGAAATCTTGACAACCTGATGAAGATGCTCTACAAAAACCCCGAAAACTAAATGCCTTGCTTGAGACAATGAAAAGGATTTTGTAATGGCTCAATTTTGTGCGCCTTTTGACTAGTCGGTGAATTGTTTTCAAATCAGAACTTCTCAAATTTATATACTTCAGACATCGAAAAGGCAGTGCTTTATATGAACAGCAGTGTATGAAATAAAAAATTACTTCCCAACCAAAGTTTTTTGGCTTTTGAGAAGTACTAATTTTTTTCCCTTTATAGGTCTTTATATCTGATACATTTTATCACTGTCTACCCCCCAAAAACATTCTTGAAAAACTCGCAACAAATTTTTGCCGTCATTTGGCCTTGAAACTGCGGCTTGTAAAAATGATCAGCAGCAGATGAGGTCACACATTTCATTTTGAAAAGTAATTTAGTTACCGAGACAGAGAAAACTCTGGAAAGTTATGAAACATGTAGGTGAAACAAATGGCTTGGTTTCAGGAGTTTAACTTGAGAAGTTTGTCACAAGTTCAGGACCATCATTACTGCCGTAAAGTCTAGCAGATATTCAAAACATTTGGGAAAACCAGCAGAACGTAGCCATGTTGTAAATGTTTTATTTCATTTAGATCAAATTCTGCAATGCAACTGGGAACATTCTGAAAATACCCAAGTGATGCAGTTGCACATAGGTGTGAGATTGTACCATTATTTGCAATCGTTTTGGAGTTGTAGAAATACATATACATCTACTACGTAGAAAGTAAACTAGTTGTTGGAGTTAATGCGATCCTTGTTATGTTGCAGTCAACTTAGACATTTTTGATCAGGAGAGTTCGTATACATCAAGAACAACTGATTGCGAGTTAATGCAGTGGGCAACTCACTGGACCTGTTGGCGTCTGTGGGCGGGGAACACGTGGCCCACACCAGGGGGGACTTGTATGCGCTAGGGTGCTTTTTTTTTGGTCGCTCTTTTCAAGTTCAATGTCAAGTTCAAGACCAAGTTCAAAGTCAAGTTCAAGTTCAAATAAAAAATTTTTATTTCAAAATAGATTGAGGGCGCCCTTTCATCAAGAGTCCTTCAACTACTGGCATTTAAAATAATTTGCACACTGCACCAAAAAACCAAGTGTATTGAGGGCGCTCTTCCACTTTACATGATTACTTTCAACATGCACACTCCACCTAGCTTGAGGGCGCTCTCATCAACAGCAGTTCAGTACATGCGCAGAAAAAACTGTAACACGAGATTGAGGGCACCCTTTCATCCAACAGTCCTTCAACTGGCATTTGAACTAACTTGCACGCTGCACCAAAAAACTAAGTTTATTGAGGGCGCTCTTTCACTTTACCTGATACTTTCAATATGCACACTCCACCTAGCTTGAGGGCGCTCTTATTCAACAGTGGTGCAGTCGTGTGCATTTAGAGAAAAGAAACTCCTTCAACTCTGCCCCCCCTCCAAGCAATAAGTAAACCAAATTGAACGAACACGCCTGCTGCCTGTTTTAGCTAATTTCTGCACTATTTTTAATTGAACATGGTGATGGATGAAATAGAAAGAAATTGGCTGGTTCCTGCAGATCTATAGCAGGTGTATTTCATTTGTTTTTGTTAAAGACAATGGCAAATTGCTCTGCAAACTTGTAAAATAGGCAGCAGGCACAATGATCACGAAAGACACGCCATAAAACACATATTTTTAATTCAGCAATTAACACAAGGACAATCTACACCAGCACATCATACATATATGATGAAAAAAAGGTTTAAAGCTATTAACTAAGTTGGTGTAAAGGAGCCTAAAGATATAGAAAAATGGATATAAAAGAAATGGCAGAGAAGCTAGACAAAAGGTCTTTGGTACAAGGAGCAATATTTGTAAATGTAAAACAATTTAGACTAAACCATGCAATGTACATATTCATCTATGATAACTTACTGAAATTCATTGCCTTTTTATGTCACACATTTTAACTTCAGATTGCGATTACAAGTGCCATGTATTTCTCTCCATTATTTATGCTGCATGTAATCAAGCACTAAAGTGAAACAAAAGTAATGCATAAATTTTATACGCAGCTCCAACAATTTAATTTCACTGTAAACTTCCTCCTTAATTTCTTTTGCTGTGTAAGTCAGCCACAAATTCCTTCCACTTGAATTGCCACAAGTACAGAGACATTATAGGGGTAAAGAATGCATCTTTGCATCGGAGGGTTAAACAGCAAACAAATATGATGTGCTGGTGTAGATTTCAAGTTCATTCACACACGTTGATTAATCCGTTTCAGAAAAAAAAAAGAACCAGGCACATGTTTGAATTTCAAGTTTCAATGCTTATCAGGACAATAAAAATGCACTTCAATTAAAAAGAAGTCCTAAAATTGAACCATCTCAACTAAATGGAGATAGAGGGCTACGTACATGGAAATAACCCCGTATTTGGTCAGTGAGAGCAAGGTATATTGACCAATTTCTTGGCATGAAACTACATGTGCCTGGTTTAAAAAATCAACTCTTAGCGTAATACATGTAGTTCCGAGTTTGAGCAAATCCATGGCAACAAATAGTTTCAATCACAGAGTGGATTTGAGTGGTTGATAAATCAATGCTGTTGTCTTCAATGCAATTAACGAAGCCAATAAGCCTCCATTATTTGAAGTGTGTTTTGTGTAAATTGGGTTAATTTGTTCAATGCTAGAATAACCCATTTATCACAAAGGAATAAAGCATTAAACGCCAATACTTTCAGTTAAGAACTGTTCACTAAACAAGTTACAAAGACTTGCTAAGACGCTGTTGCCATGGATTTGCCTAATCTAAGATGAGTGCATCCAGTCTTGACGATGAGAGTTCAAGCAGGTACGCCAGCCAATCCCTTGGACATCGGTGGTGCCATCTTTGACCCCTTTGTGTCTGCACTCCACTCACGGTGTTCGTTGCTTCTCAACATCAGAAGTTTCTGAAATATGGAAAGAGAAATCAAACCTGTTAAGTTTCCTGAAATGCTGCTTTGTTTTTAGGCAGGGTACAGGAACAAGCCTTCATATCTTTGGTTTGAAATTTTCAAGGAGTCCGTACAAATGTGTTTCAGAGGTTGAAGTAAAGCATGGATGAAGATAACTGTGCCAACACATCTTATTTTTCTTCTCACATTGAAGTAGTAAATCACAAGTTCTGTCAAATATTTTTGGCTGTGAAAGCAAACCAACCTCTGGGAAGTACAATGTATAGTACTTTTAATTCATATAAGGCATTGTCAAACGCATTTACCTTTAGTTTACAGCACATTCATTTCACTCTTTTTTAAATACTTTTCAATTTAACTTTTCAAATAAACTTTTAAAGCAAACTGCTTTCACGTACATGTATCAAACTGCGCTGTGAATTGAAAATGAGACATTTCTTCCTGTACCCTGCCTAGTACGTGTATGTACCGCGCGGTCATTACAAAGTTCCTCTACAGTACTAGGGGCCATGACACTGCATTCACACTGGAATGAAATTTGGATCCAGTTGGGGAAATAGATTAGAATTTCAGTTGTTTTGGAAGGCAATGTACATGAACAACATGTGAAAGGCCACTAAATACAGGAAAAACGGGCATTAGAAAAATCTGTTCCACAAGGTGTTGAGGTGTCATAAAAGCAACTACAAAGTCAATTCGCAAACTGTCAAGTTCTTGAAATTTAAAGAGGATAAAGGGCCTCTCCCAGCATCATCATGTCTTCAAAATAGCCGTGCCTAATCAAACCATGATCTGCAGGATGCCAAGTTTGCATCTTTCAGAGAAATGATCTTTATGAGTGACGCACTAACTTCAAACTTGTAGACGCAGGTGCATTTCTGTCATACATGTAAATCATGCAATTCTGCCAAGCATGATCCTCTGAATTCCACTCAGGATGAAATAGCTTCTGCTTTTTGCCATGTACAAAAAAGTTCTCAATTTCGCCAAAAGAAGTAAAAATGACGAGAAAGGTGTTTACTACCCTTTCCTATGATTCTAAGAAAATAGTGGGTCAGCTTGAATTGAGGAAATTATTTTCACTTCTAAACACTGATCCATGAGTACATCAAACTCCTAAGTATTCATCAGTTGTACAAAGAGTTTACATCAGGACTTTGATATCAGATGTAAACCACATTAATTAAGAAATTTGCATCAAGCCCCTCCCACAGAATTGGGTAAAGATGCATTCAAACTGTATCCGTCAGTCAGGTCTTGTTCCCAACTGACACCCTGATGTGAGGCCATTCCAGGGATACAGCACGTGACATGCATTTACCGTCAGCAATCCCTTACAAAGAAAAAAAAGACAGGCTAAATGTTTTATACACTTTTACAAAATGCAAAAAAAGTCAACCCTCCAAAAGTTAAAGTTTAGACAATCTACCTTTACCTCGGTCATCAATAAATTCAGGAAAATGACATTTGAATCACTTGAGTGTAATAAACTGATATCTCACGATTAAAATTGGAGTCAATGACAGGCATTCTGTCCAACAGTCTGGTCTTGCATCATAAGGAAACTCTAACGCAAGACCATTTCAGGGATCCAGGACATTTACATGCATCTACCTTTGGGCATCCATTTTTTCATCATTTTCACGAGCCTGCAAAAAGTACTCCTTTCCCAGAAAAAGGACAAGGAAAAAACTTGTGGAACACACACTTAAAAATAATTTTTCACAATTTATAGGAAACATTAAATAACCCTCCCCTAATATTAACGTGTGGCTTGTACTCATGAAAATGATGAAAAAAAATGAATCGGCCATAAAACCATTTCAACTGAACATGTTGATTAAATACTCTGTATAAAAATTCTTAAATACAAAGAAGAAACATATTCAGTTCTTCCTTGTCCTTAAACACTTATGGTGTGTGAAAGATTATATTAAAATTGGAGGATTCAGATTTAGAATGGTATGAACTACTTTGATGTGATCAAACAAAATGAGTCACTGGTCACATAACATCTTTCCTTGTTTGAACTTCCATAACTTTTGACAAAAAGGTCATATCAACACAAAGTTTTAATTACAACAAAATTGGCATTGCTAAAAACCCTAAATTGACCAGGATTGACAAAAGATTCATTTCGCTGGATCATGTCACGAATGATACCTGTAAATAAAGAATTGACGTACCTCACTTTCAGGGTGAATGTACTTTTGAACTCTTGGAAATTTGAAAAATTTGTCTAAAATTTAGAAAAAAATTTCGAATTTCTATGATTTAATTGTATTGATGAATTTATTAAGCCATCATCCCATCCCCCCAAATAAAACATGTCAAGACGATGTTCCCATCAACTGGGTCATTCTATAAATCTGAAGTCCAAATGGTGTGCCCGTATGACCTATCACAGGAGTGTATTGTAATTACTCATCAAATGAAAATAGCTTGAAATAAATTTTAACAAGTTTTCATTTCAAATTATGCGGGTCATGTGTAATAGGGACACAAAAAGTTACACTTTGGACCCACAATTCCTAAAATGACCCAACTGACACCCTGATGTATGCGGCACCATTCCAGGAGTCCTGCTCATTACATGCATCTATACATGTACCTTCAAACTCCTACAAAAGATAATTACAAGAAGCGACATTTTTTTCTTCATCTATGGAATTAGTCATTTCTGAAGTCTCCTGAAATGGCTGCATGATGCTGTGGGTAAATAATTTGTGGCACAAGAAAAAGAAACCATATTTGAAGAGGTCAGGCTTCCCAGCTATTTTTAAGTTACATGGCTGATAAGTACATGTACATCAGTTGTGGTACTTGGATGAGAGACCTTAAACTCTCGTGATGAACTACTGCAGAGCTCTGACACGTTGGTGAGATGTCATTGTGATGGTCTATACAACTTGAACTACTATTAGTTGAGAGATGTCATTGCAAAATAGTGGCAGTGAATGAGGGATGTCATGGTGATGAACTGTCGCATGCTAGGTCTCCGTTTTCTACTGGCTGGAGAGACGCAATAG